ATTTATATTTTGTATTGTGGTCCCTGTCCAAAAGTTGATGTGAAATATTGAGAAAGAAGACGAAAGGCCCAAAAAACTTGACTGACTTATAGAGGAAGAGGCCAAAAGGCCAAAAAACTAAAAATTGGAATTTTTGAGCACATAACATTCATTGGTCATTTATATTTTGTATTGTAGTTCCTGTCCAAAAGTTGATGTTAGATACTGAGAAAGAGGCCGAAAGGCCCACAACTAAATATTGTAAATTTTGAGCGCTGAAACCAAACGGTGGCATTAGTTGGGGCGATAGTGACGCACATGCCTATTAATAAGAGCGAAGTGGGAAATCGATGACTCAGAGGAAGGAATGTTCGCCTATCGATTCAAACTGCGATAATTGAATTGAAAAATTAATAATCGAATTAATCAAAAATTAAAAATCAAAAATCAAATAAAAATTGAATATTTCAATTAGATTGAATCGATTTTTGATTTGGTTGATAAAGATCAATCCAATGTATTATATATTTATTATTTTTGACTTGGAATATTGTTGTTTTAGACTTAAAATCTTGGATGTTATTAATAGAAAACTATATTGTTTTAGTTTTTTTATTGTTTTACTCTATTTTAACTTTTCATGTGTTTTAAGACTTGAATTTTTCATTAATTTGTAACTTTGTAAAGCTTTATTTTGACATAACTAGTTATTTGTATGACTGAAATTTTAGCTTTTTGACTCTTTTGCCCTTTTTTACAATAAAAATTATCATTATGCACTCGTTTCAAAATATTTCACCTATGTGCCCCTGTATACCCGATTATGGACCAATATACTCGGGTATATGTTGTTCCATGCAATATACTCGAGTATCTGGATCCATACCCGGGTATATGTTCAAAAAAAACTTATGGAAATTTTTCAATGCGTAGCTCTCGAAAAGTTATGTGGAATCAAAAAAAAATAAACATCTGATTTGGACACCCGAGTCAAAAGTTGTGGTCTTCTAAAGTTTTACTCTAAAATTTTTTAAAAAAAATTGTAATGCCAATAGGTTTTGTGATACCTACAAAGCACATCCTCAGGTTACCTGAGTCAAGTCCAATATTATGAGTATATGATTATAGAAACTTGTTTGATCCAAAAAAATATAATGTTAAATTTTTTCCACGAGATTTACCGATTAAATACAGACACTTGAGTGGTTAAATTTTTTTTCACGAGATTTTTTGGATCAAACAAGTTTCTATAGTGATATATTGGACTTGACTCGAGTAACCTAAGGAGGAGTTTTGTGGAGATCACAAAATCTATTGGCATTACAAAATTTTAAAAATTTTAGAGTAGAACTTTAAAGGCTATAATTTTTGACTCGAGTATTCAAATCAGGTTCTTTTTTTTTATTACACATAACTTTTCGAGAACTACGCATTAAAAAATTCTTGTAAATTTTTTTTTGAACATATACACGAGTATGCATCCAAATACTCGATTATATTGAGCGGAACAACACATACTCGAGTATATGGGTCCATACTCGGGTATACAAGGACAGATTGATGAAATATTTTGAAACTATGTCATAATGATAATTTTTTAGGTCATAAAGGGCACCATGGTCAAAAATCCCTAAAATTTTAGACTTTTCGAAACATTGAAAACCAATCCAATTCAAACCGAATAAAATTGGATTAGATCTGAAAAAATCCAAACCGAATAAATGATTAGATGATTAAAAAAATGAAGGAATTAGATCACATTAATTTTTTTTCCAAAATTGATCCAATTCATACCGCAAACACCCATGGAATCCACTTACAAGCAAGAGACAAAAACTCAAAGATGCAACGAAACATATGGTATTGCTTGCCAAGAATCTCACATAAGCTTCTGGATATATAGCAGCTAAGACAAATTCCCCAGGACATGGGTGATTCAAATTTGTGCTACTTGAACAAACATCTACAACATCAACATCCTCACTTACCTGCACCACGCCCCCTGGTGGGCTAGAAAGTTGAAATGTCATAGTTGCGATTATGGAAGCCGCCATACTTATGTTCCCTCTCATATCCTTCAACCATTGCTCTTATCCTCTCTTTTTTTGAAAATATTCCAATCGGTTCATTGCTTCGCAACTAATCCGATTCGGGGCGGGTCCGAGATTAAGGCCTTAAACTTCTCCCAAATGTGATACTGAGGAGATTTGAACACATGTTCTCACCCCCACCTGCTTAGCTCCCATGCGCCAACTGAGCTACCACGATTTGGTGCTCTTATCCTTATATTGCAACTAATCTAATGCAGCTTCTAGAATCATTCGCCATCCTTTCTTTAGGGGTATCTCGTTTAAAACAATAGTACTATTATAGGTTGCGGTGGTATAGACGACCCAGGAAGGATCATTTCATTGTTCATAGTAATTTATCTATCCTACAAGAACGGGCACAAAAGTCCAGTGAAATATAGATAACATTGAGTATTATAGTGTAATTGTTTTTGTTACATGTTTGAGAGATATAATATAAACCCATTAAAGGTCTATCACTTATAAGAATTAAGCTTTTAGGAGAAATGATTGCTTTATATTAGGGGAGTTCACCAACCAATCCAAACCGATTCTAATGGCGGTGATCGAACTGAAAAATCGATAACTGAATTAATCGAAAACCGAATTTTTTTTGCATATTTAATTGGATTAAATCGATTTTCGGTTTGGTAATCGATCCAATCCAAACTAATCTAATGTATTATGTATTTATTATTTGTAAAATTTCGCTAATACCCTTTTCCCTAATTCAATAACCCTTACTCAGTTACTCCCTTTGTTTCGCACCTCTTATGTTTGAAGAACCCACATGCATCGCAATTCTTCTATCTGAAGAACCCAACTCAGGGCTTAAGCACGCTACAAATGAACAAGTTTCTCTTCGAAGAGCGCGCTTAAGAGCCTATCACACACTTAAGAGCGCTATGTAAATATGCATGGCTATTTTAAGGAGGCTTAAGTGCCCAACAGCGTGCTTAAGCGCCCAACACGACCTAACTTAGGCCATTCAAGTATCCACTAGGGCACGGGTTCTTTGCCCATAAAAGCACAATTTGGGGTAGAATTACTTACTTTTGACATTCTTTGACAATTCTTGGCAAATTGGAGGCAGAGGGGAAGTAGATGAATTACTAGTTCATGTTCGTGAAGGTCAGAGACGGATCGGAATCAAGTCTGCGCTGAAATTATTGAAGAATTCACCATTCTAATATGAAATTTGGGGGAGACTTCTTAATTCTTTTCTTTCTTGATTTCACTATGTCCAACTAAGTCTTTTTAGTAGTTAGGGTTAGATGGAACTCGATTTATCTTTTATGTCTTGAATAACTCTTTGCGTCAATTTTCTTTTTATCATGAATGAAATTGTCTTTTCTTAATGCTTTCTATGAGCTTGAATCTTGTAGATTGATCTTAGGTAAATGCATGACAATAGGAATGTTGGTGTATGATCTGTATCTGACAATTTCATCACAATCTTTATGATTCTAGGAATAGACATAGGGTTTTGCGCAATCTTATGATTCTTGAACTTAATGCTTATTTTCTTGGGAAATAATCGAGGAACTAGGATTTTTGCAAGATTATAAAGATTTAGGATGTCAAAAAATTGAATTCTAATTAAATTAAAAGAGTCGATTGAATTGATATTAATGACGATTAATATAAAGAGTGAACTCAGACGTAATAGAGAGGTTGAGGAAAATCGAAGCCCTGACTACATTCTTTTCAGTCAAGTAATCAATACCTTTAAATTCTTGTTTTTAATTAGTTTTAATATTTTAAATTTCAACTCAAATCAAATCTGGTTACAAATCTACAATTGATTGTCCAACTTAAGTCGAAGTAGTGAAATAGTGATTGAATTATAATTCTCGTGGGAACGATTCTGTACTCAGTACATTATATTACTTGTACGGCCGGTGCACTTGCCGTAATCGCAACAATTATAAATTTAATTTTAATGTCAATGTTTCAGTACATATAACCGTTAAAATGATAATTCATCATCCATTAGTCAATGCATTCACCTCTAAATAGAACTCTATAGTTTGGGTCAACGTGATTTGAGCGTCAGAAATTTGCCAGAAGGTTCGCAGTCAAGGCCAATATTAATTCAAGTCAAAAACTAGAGGAAAATGGTTCATATATCAGCTGATTAAATAAGTAATCAAATCGAAGATATTTATGATTTAAACTAAACTAATTTTTCTTGCCGTGCACTACAAGTTGTTAAAATAAAATAATTATAATTATGCATTTTTTATTTATCATATAAATATTTTGTATATATTTGAATTCATTTATTTTGCTTTAAAAAATTTTCATACTCAAAGTATTTTAAAGATAATATTTAATTGATTAAAAATGTTAAATATACTTATAATTTCTTAAAATATAAGAAAAGACTCATATTTAAAATTTATCGATTATATGATTATATTTCATTTTATTTATCTATAACAATATTTAGGTGTATTTTTTTAACTTTATATACATAATTCGAATGAAAGCATATGATCATTATAGTTATTTTGACATGTCGATTGAATTTTTTTAAGACATGAAAAATATTTACAATTGTTACTTTTTTTATTTTACAAAATAATTATCTAACTCATTTTTTTTGTTACAATTATTTAATATTTGCTTTCTTTTGTTATAACTTTTTATATTAAATGAAATTTCTACTCTTTTTTAGTGTGACAAAAATAGTCTTAGTTGTTAGGTAAGAGTCCCTAGCTAGCAGAACTTATAAAAGAACAGCGCCAAAATTTTCGTCCCCCTTTATAGTTTGTATTGTTGTATCGACATTGATATAGAATACGGCACACGACATGATATACGATATTTTGATACATTAATTTTAAAAAATATTAGATTTTAACATATTAGAAATATATTTTGATATTAAATAATTTTTTTAATTTATATAATATATATTATATTTAATACTCAATAGTTTGTGTAGTACATTTGCACATGGAAAAGAAAAGAACCAAAAGCATAACAACTCTACCTGAAACACTTCAGCTGGCGTTTTATAGCGTTTGATATTAAATCTATGAACTCCCCTAAACTACTAAAACTTAGATACACAACATAATTGATAAAATAAAAATTTCAGCCAAGTTCAGGCAGACCATCCTGAACTTTAGGTAGATGATCACATGAAATTGTGCATCAAATAAGTAATTTATGTTGCAAAACTTTGGTGAATGGCTTGACAACAATGTTGGCAGCAACTTAGGCACTCCTTCAGCAGCAACACAAAAGGCGAAAAAACTTCTTCAGTAGCCAATACATAAAGCGACAGCACAGTATCAGACACAGCAAAACAACTAAGACCACCCAAAACGCTGCATAATACAGGGCAAGGTGATTAAGTGTTCCGTCAAGTGGATACATTACCATCCAAATAGAAACAACATATGCTCCTGCTAAGCAAATTAGTGAGATGCACATGACTATGATGAGCAACCACATAAGTAACCTGTTACGGAGGGGAATTCCACAAAGCAGTAGTAGGATTACGGTCTGAGATGCCGAGAAAGATACGGTACATAACAATATGAAAATCTCATATTTTAACTTTTGGTTGCTATCACCACCAAAGGCTAAAACAGAAGTACCAGCTTTGCATATGTGACCAGGACCACAACCTTGTTGGGTGTCTGTGTCTGATTGCCATACACCCCCTGGTGGGTTTATGGCAATTTGGAAAGTCAAGGTTGCAATAACTGTGGCTACCACCATAAGGGAACCTCTCATCTCTTCCATCCAATGCCTTGGTTCTTTTTCTCTATGATTCGCCGCAATTGTTGGTAGTGACCTTCCCTCCATTTTTTCCCTTAGTCTTCTTCTCTGTTAGGATGAAAAATGAGAATTTATTCTAATTGGAATAGCTAAGGCTATGCATTTTCTCTGATCCTTCGTTAACGTTATACAATATTCGCCAAAACATATAGCTAGTTTCACAATTCAATCTTATGGGAATACCGCAGGCCATGTATTTCCCGTGATCCTACCTCTAAATAAAACTATAGGTTTGGGTCAACGTTATTAGAGTTTCAGAAATTTGCTACAAGGGTCAAAACTGGCTGCGATATTTTAAAAATGGACTAAATTCAAATACTAGAGGAATATTATGGTTCACATATCAACTTGTTAAATAAGTAATTGAACAATGATGCAAAATGTAGAATTTGAGATAAGTCAAACAATATATAAAGTATATCTAAATGAAGCAATAAGCAATTAATCAACAAGTGAATTTTCAAGACTTTCAAATTGCAAATTTCAAATTCCAACTTCTAGTTCAGCCGGTTCGATATTAATAAAAAAAGCAAGACAAGTTTATTGATGCCATTCGTCCGATTTTATAATAAACATGACTATATAAAAAAAGGGTTTGAGAAGGATAATTTGACACCGATATCAAATTTTGAAATTTAACACTAAATCTTAACCATTGATTTCTGTCAATCAACGGTTATTATTTATTGAAAATTAATAATTAATTAATAAATTTGATTCCTAATAAATGATAATCATTGATCAACAGAAATCGTCGGTTAGTGTCAAATTTTGAAATTTGACATCGGTATCAAAGGATCTTGTCTGATATATATATATATATATATGTGTGTGTGTGTGTGTGTGTAACCATTGATTTTTGTCAATCAACGGTTATTATTTATAGGAAATTAATAATTAATTAATAAATTTGATTCCTAATAAATCATAATCATTGATCGGCAGAAATCATCTGTTAGTGTCAAATTTTAAAATTTGACACCGGTATCAAAGGATCTTGTCTGATATATATATATGTGTGTGTGTGAAAAAATGAAAAATTAGCTCTGCCATTTAAATTTTGAACTCATGCAATCTGTTGGAGCGATCAAGTAATTAAATGCATTAACTTTAAAACTTGTTGATTAAATGAAATTACACGCCAATTAAGACTCAACTTTTAATTTAATGATAAATGCTAAATCTAATAAATTGTATCAGAGCTAAGTTAAAAATCTTATAATCAACTTCAATTTACAGATAAATAAAACCATTTCCATTGCTTAACAAAAAAAAAAAAAACCATTTCCATTAAATTTTCATACAGGGGTGATAATAATCTTTATATACAGTCTTACTCTTATATATTTACCAAGAGATTATTTCTCAAAATTTATTGATAAATACTAGTTTAAAATTTATTAAAAATGTATAATAATGAATTATGATTAGAGAAATAATAAAATAATAAAATAAATAATTTGACTGTAGAGACACATTTGTAACGTTATTTACAGTCCACGTGTTCGTGTCCTACTTATTTCTAGCAACATGCAGAGATGTCTGAAGGAGGAGAGCATTTTCACTACCAGGCGTATTGGTACAACAAGAGATTTTATACTATGTATTTTGAAAAGTACATAATATAAAATACTAAAGTTACTTTTCCTTTTTCTCTTCAAGAAAATATCAGTTAATGTGGAGCACTAAAAAATTGTTCTCTGAAGGAGAGTATTTCGTGGGATTCATAGTGCAATTCACAAGTGACAAATGTATACGGGAACGTTCACGATGAGTTTCTTCTTTTACCAAATCCAAATGAAGGTAACATACCGGTCATTTTTTGGTGGACTTTCTTACTTTTGGGGCTGTCCGCTGACCACTAACCATCGTTGTATATAGAGACTTAGTCATGTAAATAAAATATTATTTGTAGACGTAGTCTTGTGATGATCTACATCCTTCTTTCAAAATTAACATCAAGGATTAAAAATAATTTAAACCAATTTATGAAATTCGGACAGCTCATCAGTAGTGTAGCTGATTGAATAAATGAATCACCGGCCAAACCACTTAAAATTGAATTTATATAACAATATGTATGTAATAAATATTTTTAATCGAAGATTAACAATAGTCAGCACTTAATATTGGCCTAGTGGTAAGTGTTAAAAATGAATTATCTTATGTTAAAATATTCCACATAATATGAAATTTTTGTATCTTTTTTTTTTTTTAATTAATACCGGTTGTACCCAACATATTTAATACATGTAAAAGAGAAAGATAAACCGAGAAGATAGGCAGGCCAATTGGTTAGTAATGAATCAAGAGCGTCGAGATGCATGCTTCTCTAATGCTTTCTTCATTCATTCCTAACAATTAGCTGACTTGAGTCCCCCATCCTTTTCTATGTAATCGCCACTTAAATTCATGTTTTTATAAAAATAAAAATATAGAGCTTGTTATAAAATATTTATTCAATTAAAATCAAAGTTCACCCAACTCCAATTGGATCAAAATTCTTTATGTACTGTAAATCTTCTCCTCATGACCAACATTATTTTATCCATATAACTTTGAGTTTTATAAGAGTTATGTTGTAGAAAAAGTGATTGTGTAATGTTATAGAGATTCGTTTTGCGTGCCATAATTTTTTTTTTCTTCAAAAAGTGTGGGCCCCACAAAATATTATGTGTGTAGGAAAGTTTGTTGTGTCATGTTAAATGACAAATGCAAACCTCAATAACATTTTACATTTGAAACTAGATTTTGTGAAAATATTTTTATATTCAACTCCCCGATATTTTCCCTCTCTCGTTATCTACTATTTTGACATGAACAATAAGTGAGCCAGTGCTAGAGAGAGTACGACTTTTAGAATGAAAGAAAAATAAAATAAAACATTATTAAGTCGTACGTTAGTTAATAAAAAAATTATTATCAACTTGGCCTTAATTATAAAAATTATTAAAAGTTGGTTATTGATGATTATCGATCTAAGAGCTCGTGAATGTTCAATCACACAATCATAATTTTTATGAGATCTGTACGTGTATGATCCTGGTGGATCAAAGGATTGACTGTGTCTACGGAAGAGACGACAGTGGATAACTTCAGATCAATGTGCACGATAGAGGTAAAGAATTAATTAAAGGGATGATGTATGTACAATGACAAAAAAAGACTAGAATTTTTTATATGCGTATCTGTGAGGTGAAACCTCTTTTTTTTTATATAGGATATCTTACTTGTGGTAGGTTTTGGGTTGGACCGGGAGATCAATGTAGAAGCTTATTCTGCTGGTCCGACAATGGTTTAATTTAATTAAGGAAGAGTCTGAATTCCCTTGGTTGGAGACAAGCCAAAACGAGTTGACTAGAGAAACACATGCATTGACTCGGTCCACCTAAATCCAATGGTTTAGATACACGAGCAAACTATTTTAGACACAACACAGTTGATGAGGTAAAACTCCTCATCTGATAGCAAGTTTTGACCACATTAAACGACTTGAGAAGCACAATTGTTTAATCTAAGAAAGAGTCTGAAGCAACTTAATTGACTTGGCGAGAAGCCAAAACAACTTGACTAGAGAGACAAGGTTTAATCTAAGCAAATGTCCGAAGAGAGGCCATAATAACAAGACAAGAGATACTTACATTGATTCAGTCTACCTAGATCGAATGATTAAAACTGACATAGAAAAATTGAAGTTTTTAAAAATATTAATTAATCTGCACCTCTCCAAAATTAAACGAGCTGCTGCTTTGGTTCCACTCTTGGTTGTATTGTATACTTGTACTTTACAAATAATAATTTATTAATCGAATGCTACAATTGATACGAGTACTTTAGGTGAATCAAGCTAATTATTAATTCCACAAAAGATAAAGTATATAGGAGAACCTTAGACAAAGTGCAGAAGCAAAATTATTCCATTATATATTGTACATGAATAACAACAGTCTTTCAAACCAACCAACTACCACATATATAGTCTTCAACATATGACTAGTGGTGAGCAACATATTAACCTCAAACGACTAGGAAGTTGCAACCATTTATTCGACCAAAGATAAAGCAAGAAAATCCCTAGCTAGCTAGATAAGGTCGGAAGTTCATTAAAAACCAAATCCACTATGACATATTGAAAGACAAGTTTATTTAGCTATGATTATTGCTGCAAAACAACAATAATCTCAAACCACAAGGAAGTTCCACGCATGCACGATCGACTAAACTCTCATTGTTACTAGTGATTAAGTTTCTTGATGCATTTCTTCACACCCCAAACAAATAAGCGTATCATGAGGAGAAAACCAACGATTCCTAACAAGCCAATCCAAATCTTGAGAACCGTGGAAAAAATACTATTAGCTGTATCCCAAAAGGCATTAGTTGGGGTGACCAATAACATGCCATACAAGTAGGTAAGAGCCAGGCTTGTGATAGTGATGCACATGCCTATTAATAAGATCCAAGTGGGGAATCGATGATTTAGAGGGAGTCCACTTACAAGCAATAGACAAACACTCAAAGATGCAACGAAACATATGGTATTGCTTGCCAAGAATCTGACATAAACATGTGGATATATAGCAGCTAAGACAGATTCCCCAGGGCATGGATGATTCAATTTTTTGCTATTTAAACAAATTGCTCGAACATCTACATCGTCACTTGGCTGAACCACGCCACCTGGTGGGTTAGTAGCAAGTTTAAATGTCATAGTTGCGATTATGGAAGCCGCCATACTCATGTTCCCTCTCATATCGTTCAACCATTCGCTCTTATCTTTATATGCCAACCAATCTACTGCACCTTCTAGAATCTTTCGCCATGCTTTCTTTGGGGGTGTATCTTTTGCAACAATATTATAGGTTGCGGATGGTATTGACGACACAGGAAGGCTCATTTCATTGTTCATGGTAATTTGTCTAACCTACAAGAACTGGCACAAAAATCCAATGTAAGAAGACATTAAAGTATTGTAGTGTAATTGTTTATGTTATATATATTTACCATGTGCTTGTTTGAAGAGTTTTGGTTTGTTTTTCGTCAAAGTGATTCCTACGTAATAAGTTATCATTCGCTAATCTTAGTAAATTTACCCATCAGTTGCATGTTAAAAAGCAAAAAACCAATGTTCCAAAAAGCAAGTTTGAAGGTGGTATTTATGTGAAAAATCGGAGAAGTTAATAAAGTATGGTTTATAAAGTGACACAATTACCCCTTACAATTGGTCCTACATGGTTATTTTTAAAAGGATAATTTTGTAATTTGATTAAGTTTTCCCATCAATATTTTATCTTCAACCCACAATATTCAAGAATTTCACTCAATTTTCTTAGTAAATTTTTTTTCAACCAAACAACTTTTTTTACATTTTCTTACCAAACTCACTTTCCAACCATTTTCCTATCAATTACATTTTCTTAGTATTCAAAAAATTTCTCCTCAACCAAACGCGGTACAGTTTATACTTACGATGTCGAAACAAGTTCAGATTCAACTAATACAGTCTGTCACTAACCTCCTCTATTAGTCTAATGATAATAAAAATGATAGTACGAAGGGATAAGTATAAACAGGTGGTAAGTATAACTAGCTTAATCGCTTGGATAAAATAAACACATATATTCCGATGTGTAATTCTAGACAAACGTTTGTTGCAAAATAATATATAGTTCTTGGCTGAATTTTTATTAAATTAAGTTGACATTATTATTGATTATTGAATAAAGAAATAATATCCCTCATTTTCATTTATCAAATAATTATACCTAAATTTTGTCAAATTCTTTCTCAATTCTATCAATATTTTTCTAACTGTAATATTACTTAATTACATATATTTTCTCGTACCCAAGTAATTATAAGGATGACAAACTTTACGTACCTTATATTGTTTTGGGATGACAAGATGCTATTTGCATTAATACACTGCGGAAGGCAAGTGATGAGGTGTGATTCCGAAGCCAAGTAATGGCATGTATATATAGTGGTAAGCTTGTTAAAAGCTGGTATTCGCCAAGCAAAGATGATAATAATGTTTAGAAGAGGGGATATTTTGACTATCAAAAGTGTCAACTACCACCTTACTACCTATCAAATCACCGTTGGATCAAAGAGAGAGAATGTTAAAAAGTTTTTGAAGAGAGAGAAAATGTTAATCCAATAGTGATTAGATAGGTAGTAAGGTGGTAGTGAAAATTTTTGGTAGTCAATAGTTTAGAATACTATAAAATGATCTATGAGTGTGATTTGGTAAAAAGACGAGTGAATTGGTCAAACAAAACGTTGTATGTAGATTAACTGATAAGAGATTATTTTACCTCAATTAATAATTTTAGGTTCGAATCTTCGATATGCAGCTTTGTTAAAATCTTGGTAGGTAGAGTTTTTTCACCCTTGTGATTTTATCCGGCTCGAATTGGATTAATCGGGTAACTTATGAATTGAAGAAAAAATTTAAATAAATATAAACAACGGGTGAAATCTAACAAGTTTCTTTTATTATTTTGCATTTATGAATTGTTTTAGTGTTTTACCATGTCACATTTGTACCATTTTTTATTTTTTATTAACGGTTTTTTATTTTTAATATAATTAATCATATTTGTTTCTTTATGTAACAGTCATTGGTCATTTATATTTTGTATTGTGGTTCGTGTGCAAAAGTTGATGTGAAATATTGAGGAAGAGGCCGAAAGGGCCAAAAGAATTGACTGACTTTATGAAGGAAGAGGCCAAAAGGCCCAAAACAACTAGACAAAGAATTGGAAATTTTAGTCCGATGTAACATGCTGAATAAAAATTGGAAATTTTAACAGGAGAACCCAATTCACATGCTGCATCATGTATTATCTCAAAACCTTCCGTTAATATTATATGGGACTGGTATAGACTAAATTAAAACAAAAAAAAAATAAAAAAAATAAAAGCACTCTGTAGCGCTCAATTTCAGAAGAAGAGAAAAGGAGATAGAAAGAGAGGAAGAATTTGAAGAGAGAAGATAATAAACTCTTTGATACCTAATTTTATTTCCAACAAAGCTATGTATGCCCTCATAAGTTGGGCCTTACACTGTAATTACATACTTAATGGATAATAAAAGATGGGTTTGGTGTTTGTCATTTTAAATGACATAAGTTATGTCATTTTAGGAGAGAGATAGACACATAAAAACAGAAATCATGAGAGAGAGAAAGTGGGTGATTTTTTTTAATTTAAAATTCAAATTTTCTGTGTCTGTATCTCTCTTAAAATGACATAACTTTCTGTCATTTAAAATGACAAACACTTTTCCCATAAAAGATACTTATTATATTATGGTCTTCAATTGGTCTCATAGTCTTGCAAATATTTGGGCTGCTTGCAGGTCCTTTTCTCATGTAGCCTTGCCATCTTAAAAGGGTCTGTCACATCCCCCTTTGGTTCAAAAATATCTTCGTCCTCGAGGAGAGGGTTTTGAAAAGTCTCAGTCAAAGGGTCAGAGTTGATGGGTGATCCAATCAAATGGGTAGCATGTGGTGACGGTCCAATCAGCAGAGGGGAAGTGGGTGCCAGCTGCAGCGCACGCTCACAAGAAGCGCGTACGAGGTCGCGCGTGGGAGTGGTTGGCTGATGTGTCTTAATGATGGCAGTCTTCCCAAGTAACTTAGTTGGCACAATCAGTGCGTTGGAGAGAAGTGGAGCGTTGGCTTCGTTCTTTTCTTCCTCTAAGTTCCTATGGGTTCTCTCAGATGACAAGGGAATGGGTGAGCTGAGTGATGAATCCCCAGTAACCGGGGTTGGTGACAGATCCTGCTCCCCAGTCTCGACTTGGTCTTCCTCTAAGGTCCCCTGGACGGCAACTTCCTTCTCCTGACCAAAATTCGAGTCTTTGTCCTCCTATGTGCTACCCTCGGGAGGCAAACCATGCCATTGAACCAGAACCTGGGTGATCTTCTTTCCCTTGCGCCAAACATCGTGACTGCCCACTATAGGTGCTGGAGTATAAGCCAGGTAGTTGTCCAGAGAAGTGAGTGGCAGATCATGGATCTGATAGTTGCGGTCAGAGCGGAACGGACGCAGGAGCGAGACATGGAAAATGGAGTGGATCCGAGCCAAAGGTGGTAACTTTAAGCGGTATGCAACAGGACCAATACGTTCCACGATCTCATAGGGACCATAGAATCGCAAGGCCAACTTTTGCGATGACCGGCAGTGCAACGAGATCTGCCGATAAGGTTGTAAGCGGAGGAGGATATACTCTCCAACGGTAAAACTCTTATCCCTTCTCTTTTTATCCGCTTGGTTCTTCATTTGTATCTGAGCTCTGATCAAGTTGTCCTTTACCTTTGCGAGGATGGAGGTTCTGGAAGAAAGGACATCGTCCACAGCTTCGTTTTGGGAGGAGCCCAGTGTATATGCTAACAGATTCGAAGGAGGTCGTCCAAATGTCACCTGGTAAGGAGTGAAACCTGTAGAGCTGTTGAATGAAGTGTTGTGATGGTACTCTGCCCATGGCAAATACCGCGACCAGGTGGACGGTTGATCGAAGGTAAAGGCTCGCAAAAACTGTTCTACACATCTATTCACACGCTCAGTTTGGCCATCCGACTGAGGGTGATATGCTGAACTAAAACGAAGTGATGTTCCTTGCAGGTGGAAGAGCGAGGTCCAAAAGTTGTTGAGTAATAGAGGATCACGATTGGAGATGATGGATCGAGGAAAACCATGCAATTTTCCGACAGAGTCCCAAAATATTTGGGCAATTTTAGCAGTCGTGTAGCGTGAAGGGAGCGCCAATAAATGAGCACCTTTTGAGAAGCAATCCACGACCACGAGAATCGATGTATATCCCTGTGACGGAGGAAGGTGAGTAATGAAATCCATACTCAAATCTGTCCAAGTTTCGTCAGGGGGCTTTATATTTAGCAATAAATTCACGCACTATTTTCCGCATGCCCTTCCAGGTGAAGTTGAGAGCAATTCTTTGAAGAGTACCTAGAAAGCCCGAATGACCCCCTTGGACGAAAGTATGGAGATCGTGTAACAAGTGCGGAATAATGGTAGAAGTGGCTGGAAGGAAGATGCGGTTGCAAAACAGCAACAGTCCGCCCTTGCATTTCCATTGCGGCCATTTGGCTGGTATTGTAGCTAGGTCTTGAAAAATTGCAGCACAGAAGTAGTCGGTGTGTAAATCTTGTATAAGGAGGGACTTGTAATCACTAATAGGGCCACTAAGAACTGTCAAACGGGGTTTCATAGTGTCGGAGACCCCTTCTGGATGCCTGGATAATGCGTCTGCCACAATGTTGGCTTTGCCGGAATTGTATGTGATGGTGTAGTCGAAACCCAACAACTTAGAAAGGAAATTCTGTTGTTCCGGGGTCTGGACAACCTGATTCGAGAGGTTGTGCAGACTCTTATAATCAGTTCGAATGGTGAACGGTACTCCCAACAGGTACTGTCGCCATTTAGCCATTGCCGCTGTAATGGCAAACATCTCGCGAATGTATGTGGACTTGTAGCGCATAGTAGGTGCCAATTTCCTACTGTAAAATGCAATAGGATGATTGTTTTGAATTAAAACTGCCCCCACTCCAATACCCGACGCATCCGTTTCAACCACAAAAGGTGCTTTGAAATTTGGGAGTGCCAGAATAGGGGGTTGTGGTGAGTGGAGCTTTGAGTTGATAGAAAGCGTCTGCTGTTGTGGGGGACCAAACAAAACCGTCCTTGGTCAACAGATCGGTTAAAAGAGCAGCAATAGAAGCATAATGACGTATGAAACGTCGATAGTAACCGAAAAGGCCTAAGAAGGCTCGAACTTGGGTAGCAGACATTGGGGTGGGCCAGTTGATGATCGCCTGGATTTTGCTTGGATCCAGTTGTACCCCTTCACCCGAGATGGTGTGGCCCAAGAACTGAAGTGAGGATTGGCCAAATAAACACTTGGAGAGCTTAGCAAAGAAGCAGTGAGTTTGCAATGTGCTCAAGACCTGTTGTAAATGGCCAAGGTGTTCCTGAAGGCAAGAGCTGTACACCAAAATATCATCAAAAAATATCACCACAAAACGACGTAAGAAGGCAGAAAAGACCTGATTCATTGTAGCCTGGAAGGATGATGGTGCATTCGACAAACCGAAGGGCATCACCAAAAATTCGTAGTGGCCTTGGTGTGTGCGAAATGTTGTTTTGTGGATATCAGCTGGGTGCATTTTAATCTGGTGATAACCATATCGGAGATCCAATTTGGAAAAAACAGTTGCACCATATAGCTCATCCATTAACGCATCAATCATTGGGATTGGAAATTTGTCTTGCACGATAACTGCATTCAAGGCACGGTAATCAACGCAGAAATGCCACGTGCCATCCTTTTTTTTAACAAGCAGCACTGGGGAGCTAAAGGCCGAGTTGCTAGGCTGAATCATGCCATTTTGTAGCATCTCAGAAACTAATTTCTCCATTTCGTTTTTCTGGAAATGGGGATATCTGTAAGGACAGACCTGGACAAGCTTTGTATTTGGCTGTAATGGGATACAGTGATTTGTAGAACGGTCTGGTGGTAAGGAGGTGGGAACTGCAAAAACTGTAGGAAACTGATCCAATAATGTTTGGATCTCATTGGGCCAGGGTATAGTATGGGAGCTGTCTGACGAATGTATTGGGGAAAGTGGAAATAAAACCGGGTCGGTAGCCAGACACATAAAAGAGGATTCTAGGGAATTCTGAGTGATTAATTTCTGGAGTTGGGATGTCGTGATCAAACTCGCTTGAATGCGTTGATCACCCTGTAAAACCACATTGGTATCATTATGGGAGAAACCCATTGTCAACAGATTATAATCTGTCAAAATTGGGCCCAAGCTAGCTAACCACTGGACGCCAAGCACTGTATCCGCTCCTTGTAACTCAAGGACAAACAAATCCATCTTGAATTGGTGACCCTGAATGTCGACTGGGACAGATTGGCAAAGAGCTGCACATGTGAGCGAGTCCCTATTTCCCACATGAACTTTAAATGGCTGGATAGCCAGAAGTGTTAAATGCAAATGGTTGGCTATACGGGGAGTAATGAAATTTTGAGTGCTCCCTCCATCAATGAGGATTTGCACAGCTTGTCCCAGTATGGTCCCAGTTAAGCGGAATGATTTAGAGGAGTAGGTACCAAACAATGCATTAAAACTTATTTCAGTTATGTTCTCCGTAGAATCAATAGGAGAGTCTGAGGTAATAGGTGGGTCAGGGGTATCAGGTGGATCCTCTTCCTCGTACCCTTCCAAGTACAACAAGGATGCCCGTGCCTTACACCTATGACCATAGGTGAACTTTTCATCACGATTGAAACAAAGGCCTTTGTCTCGCTTCACCTGCATCTTAGCTTGTGATAAGCAACAAATTGGGATGGCTGGGACTGGTTTGTTATGAGGAGTGTTGGTAATGGTCAACGGAATTGGAGGTTTATGGGGTGGGGAAATTTGGTATGTTGGGGATGTGTGGGAGGTAGGGTTGGGTTTGTTAAACCAATGGCGGTTAGGTTCTTCCTCAGCATACTGATCCTCAAAAACTCGCGCTAGTGCCAAAGCGTCATGCCAATCCCCAAGACGTTGAGTGAGAACTGAGCGTCTAATGTGGGGTTTGAGACCGAAAATGAATAAACCACGCTTCAAAGTGGCTGATAGCCCCGGAACCTTACTGGCAGCAACCTCAAAATTGGATTGATAATTCACCACAGATCCAAATTGCTGTAACTTAGCCAAAGCACCAATCGGTTCATCAAATTCAGAGGGACCAAATCGTCTAAGAAGGGCAGTAACAAACACCGACCAAGTGGGTAGCAAGCCTTCTTCACTAAGGCCCCGAAACCAACAAGCGGCAGGGTCATCCAAGTGAAATGAAGCAATGAGTAAACGATCTTCCTCAGAAATATTATAATATTGGCAGTACTTATCCACAGCAAATAACCAAGATGTGGGGTCACCCGCAATAAAACGAGGGAAAAGTAGCTTAATAGCATGAGGTTTACTCACATCTGCGTTGGTTTTCGTAGAGGTGGACCCTGGTCCAGAACCCAAAATTCCATATCGAGGATTGTTATCGATTAACCTGTGGAGGACCTGCTGTATTTGAGCTTGTGACTCATGAAGTTGAGCATTCGATTCCTGAAGACCCAGGAATTGTTGTTCCTGTACCAGTTCAGCCGAGCGAAGTTGTTGCTCCAACAGATCTAGGCGATGGGATTGTTGTTCCAGAACTTCGATGCGGTTTGTGATATCTCGTAGACGAGTGTTATCAGCCATGAGCAAGGAGGAAGAATAGGCAACGAGAGCACCAAAATGTAGCGCTCAATTTCAGAAGAAGAGAAAAGGAGGTAGAAAGAGAAGAAGAATTTGAAGGGAGAAGATAATAAACTCTTTGATACCTAATTTTATTTCCAACACAGCTATGTATGCCCTCATAAGTTGGGCCTTACACTGTAATTACATATTTAATGGATAATAAAAGATACTTATTATATTATGGTATTCAATTGGTCTCATAGTCTTGCAAATATTTGGGCTGCTTGCGGGCCCTTTTCTCATGTAGCCTTGCCATCTTAAAAGGGTCTGTTACACACTCTTAATTATTAAACATGCAATCCAATAATTAGTATGAAAAATATTATGCAATATAAGGCAATGTGACCATACCTCAGTCCATAATAATCATTTGGATTGCTTGAGGATGGAACAATAGGAAGAATCTAATGTATGCCCATAATTGCAACAACGTCTAGCAATCAACCATTTCCTTTTGAGTGGGGTTGGTCGCTTAACATAACTCCCTATACAGATATGCAAGCACTGTTGCACCCCAATTATATTCCTGGAAATCCCCTCCTAGCAATAAAAGATATCGTACAACAACCTTATTCGATGACTTAGGGCCCGTTTGGTACGCGGAATTCAAGAAGATTCTCGGGAAACTGAATTTTTTTAAATTTAAATTTACAGATATTATCATAAACTGAATGTTAAAATCATATTTTTGAAAATCGAGATTCCCGGGTAAAAAAAATTTATCCTCTACCAAACGCTAATTGTTTAATAGAAAACCCACCACAGGCACAATAGATGAACATGTGTGTATGTCTTGATTCGGATCGCCCGTGTATGTGGCTCAATGACCGTAATATTGATCCAAAAAGACATCCACATATAGCATCCTTCGAGCTCTTCTGGTAGAGGATAGAAACACAACATGTCATGTATGATGTCACTCCATGAAACAATAGTCATGCTAATCAAGGGTTGGCCTTATGAAGACAAGCCAAGTATGGCTGCCACATCTTGAAGAGTATTAATGGTGCAATCTCCTTGTGACATGTGAAATGTATGTGTCTCACGGAGCCATCTCTCGACTAATGCACTAATTAGTGCATGATCAATCTCCAAGGCAAATTATTAATAAATACATACAATTATTCTCCCATAAAAATGTATACAAATAATTTAATAAAGCATTAAATACTAACTAGCAAATGTCACATCCATGCAACATTATAAAAACCAGCACGCCTCAGGTAGGGATGTGCATGAGTTGAACCGAACCGAATTTTTTGAAAAACCGAATCGAATTGGTTTAAATGGTTCGGTTTAGTTCAAAACTGGTTCAGTTCGAAAGTGGTTCGGTTCGGTTCGAAAACGGTTCGGTTCGGTACGGAACCTATTTTGAAAAGAAAAAAATAAAAAAATTAAAAAATTAAAGTTATAAAAATCAATTTGGTTCGGTTTGAAAACGGTTCGGTTCAGTTCAAAATGGTTCGGTTCTTAAACTGGTTCTAAAAATTGGTTCTTTAAAAACCGGTTCGATTCAAGAAAAAACCAGTTATTTTAAGAGCGGTTCGATTCGGTTCATAGTTTGGTTCAGTTTTTTTGTTATTTTGCACATTCCTAACCTCAGGTGCTCGACCACTGGTTGAAGAATATTATCCGGGACCTGTAGATTTTCGTCTGCACCCTTTGTCATTCCACCCTCTATGGATTTTCAGAACCCTCATGTACCCGTGTTCCATATAGCGCGTGATTAGAGATGACAAAACGAGCTCAGCCTGCCGGGCCCGCCAAACGGGGCAGGGCGGGCTGAGTTTTCTAAACCCGCCGTCCGCCCGGGCTGATTTTTTAATTTATTTTTTTTAGTGTAAAATCTCACGGGCTTGCGCGGGCAGCCCGCCTTGCCCGCCCAAATGGGGTGAGGCGGGCTGAGTTTTCTTGCCCACTTTCACAGACGGGGCGGGGCGGGCCAGCCCGCTTTTTGGCATGCTTATGGCGGGCACGGGCGGGGCGGGGCGTGGCAGGCATCCCGCTTTGCCATCCCTACGCGAGATGCATGTCATTCCTGCACTCCACCATTCAAAACACCATACTCTATGGGACTAGGAGTAGCTTCAGATCCTTAATGTCATCATTTAGGTCATCATTTCGTTATTCATTTTTCATTTTTTATGAGAATAAATGAGCGAATGGTCCTATTTCTATAAAACTATTTTTTTGATATATATAATTAGGGGAATATGTTTATCATGTTGTATGAGACAATTTTATCCATGCAATACACAAAAAAATGGGTGAGACCCACTAAGGAAATAGAGAGAGAAAATAAGTGGATCCCACCTAGAGATAAGGGTGTTCACAGTCTAGATTGGATTAGTTTTGAAGCAAAAATCATGTGATCCAATTCCTTCAATTTGATCATTTAATAATTCATTCAGTTTGGACTTTTTTCAAATTCAATCCAATCCAATTTTATTCGGTTTAGATTAGATTGACACGTGGAGAATTATGATCATTGGGAGTTGTGCGATCCACTAGGTGATCCAAGGACAAATGATATTAATTATTAAGTTTGGACCACATTAAATGACTTGATAAGGACAATGGTTTAATATAAAGGAAAAATTACTCTTATGTTACATATTATAACTTTCTCTCCTACACACTCTCTTCGATAATTGTTCCACTTTTTTCTTTTTTCTTTTTTTTTTCAAATGGTGGAGCCCACAAATTTGTCTCTATGACATGAGATAACTTATCTCCTTTAACATGAGATTAATAAAATCCTTAATATAATTAAGGAAGAGTCTGAATGCCCTTTGATTGGAGACAAGCCAAAATTACTTGACTAGAGAAACACTTGCATTGACTCGGTCCAACTAAATCCAATGGTTTAGATACACGAAACAATGACCAAAATGTCACTTTTAGTTAAAAAAATTATCTCAATATCACGCGAACAATACTTTTTATTAGACTGTCACGTAAGTATAATTCGCTACGACTGGTAGCAAATTATGTTCGCTAATAATTTTTTGACACGTGGCACATTTTTGCAGAAAAAAACTGACGTGTCATAATTCGCTTTCAGTGATAACAAATTTGGTCTACAATATGACCACGTGTCACGAAATCATAGGCCATGAAATTCGCTATCATTCATAGCAAATTATGACACGTGACAGTCTGATAAAAAATACTGTTCGCATGGTATTGGGATAAATGTTTTGACAAAAAATAACATTTTGATCATACACTATGTAAACTAACTTTAGACACCACACAGTTGATGAATTAAAACTCCTCATCATTTAAACTCTTGGAAGAGTCCAGCTATTCTCCCTCCTTAGAAGTTGACTATTGCTGATAGCAGCGACATGAGAAGACAGCTGTTAAGCATGAGTCCGAAGCAACTTAATTGACATAGCTAGAGAGAATTCAAAACAACTTGACTAGAGAGACGAGGTTTAATCTAAGCAAATGTCCGAAGAGAAGCCATAATAATAAGACTAGAGAGACACTTACATTGATTTAGTCTACTATATACAATGTTTCAAACTGAAATAAAACACTTAATGACTTTTGAAATATTAATGTGCACCTCTTCAAAATTAAACGAGTTGCTTTGGTTCCACTCTTGGTTGTATACTTGTACTTTACAAATAATAAATTATTAATCGAATGCTACAATTGATTCAAGTTTATTTTATCAAAGATAAAGTAGGAGAATTAGACAAAGTACAGAAGCACAATCATATATATATATATATATATATATATATATATATATATATATATATATGAGTTCACTTTTTCTACGGTCAAGATAAGTTATTTACATTGAACTCGAAACGATATCGTTTTGGAAAGGAAATCAAGATATTTTTGTAATTATAATTTATTTCAGGATTATAATAGTCTTTCTTAATATAATTTTTTAATTTTTCAACACAAAACGACATCATTTTGAGAGTGAATGTAGATAACTTATTTACATTTACTGTAAAAATATTAAAGTTTATATATATATATATATATATATATATATATATATATAATATATGAGTCACATTTGTTTCATTTTGTATTTTTTAATCTAATCATATATATATATATATATGTGTGTGTGTGTGTTAGGATCATTTTACACCAGTGTAAGTTACATTCTCAATATTGATCATTGATTCCACTTAAATCTAAGGGCTTTAATTTTTTAGTAATGTGAGCCATTGGATACAAGTGGATCAAAGGTCAGGATTGAGTGTAAGACTTCTAACACTTACACTAGTGTAAGAATATCCTGCCCATATATATATATATTAGAAATATCGGTTGATCGCTTCGCGACTAATTCGATTTGGGACGCGTCCAGTATTAAGATTTTAAATCCCTCCTAAAAATAATACTGAAAAAGATGGAACACATGCTCTCACTTATAAGCTGCTTAGCTACTCCCATTTGGTTAATCATATTTGTTTCTTTATATAACAGTCATCTGTCATTTAATTTTCGTAGAGTGGTTCCTGTGCAAAAGTTGATGTGAAATATTGGGGAAGAGGCCAAAAGGCCCAAAACAAACAGAATTTGAAATTTTTGTCCGATGTAAAATGCTGAATAAAAATTGGAATTTTAATTCAACAATTGGAAATTTTGAGCGGAGAACCCAATCCACCCACATGTGTACTTTTCATACTGGTGCATCATATGTTATCTCAAAACCTTACGTTAATAAATTTATGGGTGCTGACGTGCTGTGGTCCTCGTTTAATGCAGGAACGTGGGACTCATCACAAATTCCTTGTATCATCCCTTGTCTCAATTCTCTCTTTCCTTATTCTTTCCTTCGCTGAAAGCTCCATGTGTTTTTGTTAGTATTTTTTCACTTTGGGGAAGAAAAACAGCAAATTAATATATAGATTGGCAAGGCGGATGTGAATAGATTAATGCCTGAGAATTTTAAGGCCAATGGTTTGAGAGCATATTTTCAA